AAAAATTAATTATTTAATATACAAACTAACATATAAAAAAATAATAAAACTAACAAATTGAAGAATTCAGGATAAATTGGTGCTACTGGGCTCCAAATATCGAGCCTGAAACCCATATGTGAATATTTTAATAATAAAAAATAGTTGTTTAATTTACAAACTAACATATAAAATTATAATATAACTAACACATAGAAGAATTCAGAATAAAAATTGGTGCTACTGGGCTCCAAATATGGAGCCTGGAACCCATATGTGAATGTTTATTTATAAAAAATAATTATTTAATTTACAATCTAACATGTAAAATAATAAAACTAACACATAGAAGAAATCAGGATAAATTGGTGCTACTGGGCTCCAAATATCGAGCCTGGAACCCATATGTGAATATTTATTTATAAAAATTTATTATTTAATTTACAAACTAACATATAAAATTATAATAAAACTAACACATAGAAGAATTTAGGATATCTTAGGTGCTACTGGATCTCAAATATCGAGCCTGGAACAGTTATGTGAATACATTAAATATTGTATAATTATAAAATTTAATTATTTAATTTACAAACAAACAAATAAAATTATAAAACTAACATGTAATAGTGTTGTTTAGTTTACAATAGACAACATGGAGGTTCCACCTATTCATTCCGGACCTTCCAGCGATGAGCTACTCTCGTTACAGGATGATCATAGGTCCGCCCACATATGGGAGAGTGAGTTACTAACCCAGACTCTCCGCACCAGGAGAGTGGACGACATGTGGGACTTTCTGCATGACAGAGTTCTCCATGATCGTGTAGTCACACGCCTGCGGGAGACGGGTTTCTACAGGATTTTGGAGATCGGGCGGCTGCAGCTTGATTGGTCTTTGGTCACGGCCCTGATAGAGCGGTGGCGACCGGAGACGCACACATTCCACCTGCCCATTGGTGAGGCCACCATCACACTGCAGGACGTGGAGGTTTCATATGGGCTGCCTGTTGATGGACTGCCCGTTGCTCTCCCGCCTGGCATGAGAGAGATGACACGTGTGCAGTACCTGGGCATGCTGCAACGGCTCACTGCTTTTCGGCCAGAGGATGAGAATGTACTGCATGTGACCAGTCGTTTTCCGTTGACGACTATTCGACAGTGGTTGGAGGCATTGCATCTTGAGCTCGATGGCGATACACCGGATTATCATGTTGACCGGTATACGAGGTTGCTGCTACTCCTTATGTTTGGAGGGGTCTTGTTCCCGAACACTTCGGGAACCTAGTCAGCTTGAGATTTCTTCATCATCTTGAGCGGCTAGATCATTACCCTAGTACAGCTGGGGCTCTGCTGTTCTCGCCTACTTGTACAGGCATATGTGTCGGGAGAGCATTCAATAACAGTCCCGGGGTTAAAGTGTTTCACTGCGGCCATGTACCTGGGTAGAGATGAAAATGACTTATCCCAGTCACTATAAACAATTTCAAATGCACGTTTGCGCCCGAGATATGCCTTTCTTTTGGTAATAGTACACCCATATTCCTGGTGGGCGATGTAATACACTCTTTGATCTTGTACCTAATGGACACTTCCAAGTGTGGAATCAAGACAAGAGAAATCAAGTCAACATCCAAGTTGAAGTGATTCCCATTGAATGTGTCCATTTCACAATTGTGGGTGCTCATATATTTACCCACTTTCCACAACCCTTTTTCCTTCATGCTCGCACGCACCATCCAGTGACAACCCCTAAACCATCTACGGCAAACAACCTTGTATACCTCCGGACTTGACTCCCATACTATCATCTCACGACACTCTCTTACGTTGTATATTTTACAAGCCTTGGATAGGCGAGCTTTATCGGAAAAATACATGCCCTTTGCAAGTACCGTTGGTCTAGATCATCCCATATTGCTGACCAAATTTTGTCAAGATCCCTTGTGAGGGCATCCACATCCGGCATACTTATCAAGGTAGGGAATATGCCTTGAATGAAACGGCACGTGGGACTCGTACACTCTTGGTCTAAGGGGAGGTGGAGCATGCTCCCTCGTCATCTCAGGTTCGACATTCACTTCCTCCTCATCATCACCCTCGTCAGGGAAGGGTGTATCATCTCCAGAATCATCGGCATTGCTGTCATAATCACTATTATCTTCCTGACTCTGCACATCTTCCAAATCACGAGTAAATACGTCGTCTACGGGCAACTGAGTGAGGTCAGGACCATCAAGTTGCTCGTTTTCACTGCACAAACAACAAAATGATAAGCTACTCAAATTGATAAATACTTTACATATAGCTATATCACTTCACTTACAAGTCGTAATGTGTTGACATTCCATGATGGACATTATCCTGTTGGTGATGACTCCCGGATGGACCACCGTGATACAACACCAAAACTACGCATATTCCAACTGGGAGTGGGGTCAAAACTTGTAAAGTTCATATCTGGACGGTACCCCCTGTGGAATATATGAGTGTTAATAAAAATTGAATACAACAAAAATAAACATCGTAACTCAAAGGAAAATTGAAGTTTACCAGTCGTCTTGTGGATTATGTAAAGTAAGAGAGAAATTATTTCCTCGCTCCTCGTTCGCCCGCGGAGATAAGTTTATCCGGCCAAACTCTTTCAGTCGGAACCTGTTGGGCTAAAACTGCTCCAGAATAACCACCCGATGATTGAGGGTTATCCCTGCTTTGCGCAACATCATTATTGTGAACGTCTTCAACCTTCACGTACATTTCCAATATTTTTATCAAAATAAATTCCCGGTTTTCATCCGGAGTCCCCAAAAAATCTCTCAGAGTTTCATCATCCTCGATGTTAAACTCAGCGTAACAAGCAACCCCTTGTGGAGTCACAGAATACGGATATCTTCCGGTTATTTTAAGATTCACCGAACGTTTGCTCAACCTCATTTTATTGCATAATAACGATACCAGTCTATCGTATTCCATTGTAAGTGGCAACTTAACATGACTCTGTGGAGATAAACTATAGCTCACTGAGTTATTCGCCACCACAACCTCACCCCCCCAATAAAATGAAACCCTTACTTTTCGCTCTTCAGACATTATGAAAAAAGCATGAGAATTTAACCACAAGAAAAAATTATCATAAAGTTGGAGTATTACTGAATGATTTTTCTCAAAACCCTTATCGCCTTTATATAAGGCAATGCCCAATTCAGGGGGGTCAAATTTTTGGAAGTAAAACGCAGTTTAAAAGGGCATTTTACATATTTGAATAATTGTTATGTCAGTTAAGCGCAGAAGAGTTATTGGTGGACCCACAAAACATTTAAAACGCGGTTTCTTACTACGTTTTATATAAAACGCAGTAATAAACCGCACTTTACCTGGAAGCTGATAAGACGTTAAGGTAATGTCGGTATTAAACTGCATTTTATATAATACGCAGTAATAAACCGCGCTTTACCTTAACGTCCCTAACGGCGTTAAGGTAAAACGCGATTCATAGCCGCGTTTTACATTGAATGGTAACTTTGTTTTTGAGAAAATCTCACTTTATACCCATTAATTTCAAACTATTTACCCTTTAATGCCCAGACCCAAACTATTTACTACTCCTACCCATGCGTTCCGAACTATTTACCCGCTTATTCTTTACCTACATTACCTTTGTTTTTTTCTTCCTTTCAAAACCTTCACAAACAAAGGAAATGGAGCAATATTATGGCTGTTTATGAAGGAGAAACAGGTTGAGTACAACGCAGAGGGAATTTTACAAGAAAAGGGAAAGTTCAAGAATGGTTAAAGGCTTTTTGTTAGATTGGATTTAGCCGAGGATTGTGATAAGACTAGCAGATTTATTTTAGTAATTTTTTTTTGTTTTCTTTGGGAACATAAATGTCTGAATTGGTGGCTCGGACTGGTCGGCATCAGCAGCGATATGAGGCTGGTTATCGCCTTATCACCGGGTATTTTCTCGTTTATTTTGGTTTTTGCTAAATTAGGTTTTATTTGGTTTAGAGCAAGTTTGCTGATTGCTGAAGTTTGGTTTCTAAATTTCCTCTATTAGTTATGTAGTTGTTTTTGCTTGCTTTGATTTGTTTTGGTGTTTGCTGAATTGGGTTTTGTCTGTTTTTGGTAAATTTTGTTGAATGTGGGAGTTTGGGTTCAAGTTTCCTCTTTTCTTCTGATTACGGTGCTTTTGATTTCCTCATAATGAGTGAAATTTGGTTGAATGTGGAGCTCCTCTGTGTCACGACCCAGATCCACTACGGGTCGTGATGGCGCCGGACACCGCTGTCAGGCAAGCCAACTAAATCACCAATTAAATTCTCTTTTTATAACTTTGAAAACCTAGGAGTTTTACTTCCATTTTTCATATATAAAACAATTTCTGTTTCAATTCAAATGAAGAAATTAACTATTGATACACATCTTCAAAGAAAACCATCCCAGAACCCGGTGTCACAAGTGCATGAGCAACTACTGATAAGGAAAATAAAATACAAATGTCTGTCCGAAATACAGTGGACAGAGAATCAATAAATAAAGTACTGGAAGGGGACTACTCTAGCTGCGGGTCGTCTCGAACAATGCGGCTCACCAAGTCCCCAAATCATCCGTGCTGCTACCTAAAGTAACATATACCTGTGCAACAAAAAATGCACAGAAGTGTAGTATGAGTACGTAATCAACGTGTACTCAGTGAGTATCCCGCCTAACCTCGAAGAGGTAGAGACGAGATGGTCAACCTGGACACTCACTAGCGGTCCAATAATAATATATTAATTGTGTGGGAAAATCATGGATTCATATAACATATTCTAATTCACAAGGTGTAAAACAGGTAAACACCTTTTAACAATTAGCAAAGGATTCTCAAGATTTTAATTTTCTTCATTTAATGAGTTCATCTCAAGCCATGAAAGGCAATGCCATCATTTAAGATTCCTCATGCATCAATATATAAAAGATNATGCACATATAATGCAAACAATAAAAAAAGTTTTTATTATTTACCGATTGTCATATGTCTATAAAATCAAAAAAAAATAATGTGTCCCACATCCTTTATGCTTTAAAGCAGCCGCTGGCCTCAGGCGCATCCCATCCCGCCCGGAAACACTATCAGAATAATCCTCAGCACGATGCCTCTTTATCGGAGGATGATCTGCGGCATGATCGTCAGTAAGGCTGGCAGGCTCGGTAGAAGGGGCCGTCGGTGCAGCAGTAACCTACAAAATAATGACATATATTAGTATATGAAATATATAATAGTAAAGTAAGGGTTGATTGCATAAAAATAATTAAAATGTCTTACCACGGTCGCATCGGGCTCCTGAATATACTCATCCGTCTCAGGTATGTGAGTGTCACACCTAGTGGCCTCTGCGACGGGCGAGGATGATGGCTTCAAAAAAAAATATGCTTTAGATATTTATGACTAATCAATGAGATAAACACAAAAAATGCTACCTAGTATTGTCATAATATCAGCCAATTTCATTCTTTTAACTAACTGAGAAAAAATTTACAAATTAAGATCAAAGATTGTTGATGTTGGATCATGAAATATTTATCTCGAGTGGGCTGCAATAAGGGCCCGGTGTCATTATGTTAATAAAAAATGGCTTGGCAGCAAATTACTTCTTTTAAATTTGAATACAAATGAAAATGTTAGTCAAAATAGATAAACATGAATTAATTCTAACTCCAACATGATGAAAAAAAGTAAAAGGTCCCGACACGAAAATGATCCAATTTGACCACTGTACATTGCTAACATGAGAAAATGGAAGAATCGAGAATCTCGAGTAACTGGCAAAGCCGCTACAGTAGCTAAAGTAGTGATAAATCCTGTTAATAAGATGGGTCCTATAGAAAGTCCATCTATTCCTAATCTCCAATGGAAATCAAAAAANAAGAAAAATGGGGTTGAAATGAACTCAACCCCGAACTTAAAACATCCTCACTGCCCCAGTCATTTCCGCTTCAGCGGGACCCTGCCCGCTTCCGCGGTTCCGCTTCTGCGGACCGCTTGCCGCTTCTGCGGCTCTCCTCCACACCAGGCCTTCCGCTTCTGCGGTTAGCCAACCGCTTCTGCGGTTCCGCATCAGCGGATCAAGGGCCGCTTTTGCGGTCCTGGCTGCCCTCGCCCTCGTCCGCTTCTGCGACTTCTTCTCCGCTTCTGCGGGGCCGCTTCTGCGGTCCCATTTCTGCAGAAGCGGAAATACCAGATACCAGATCCCTTCAGCTGTTCTTCAACTTCCAAATTTGATCCGTTAACCATCCGGAATCCACCCGAGGCCGCCGGGACCCCAACCAAACATACCAACCAATCCCAAAACACGTTACGGACTGGCTCGAGGCTTCAAATCATATCAAACAACGCTAAAATCATGAATTACGCCCCAATTCAAGCTTTATGAACTTTGAACTTTCCAACTTCTACTTCCGATGTTTAAACCTATCAAATCACGTCCGATTGACCTCAAATTTTGCACACAAGTCATATTTGACATTACGGACCTACTCCAACTTCCGGAATCGGATTCCGACCCCGATATCAAAAAGTTAACCTCCGGTCAAACTTCTCAAAAACCTTCAAATTTCTATCTTTAGCCAAATGGCTCCAAAATGACCTACGGACCTCCGAATTCACTTCCGATCGCGCTTCCAACTCCAGAATCACCATACGGAGCTATACGCAGTCTCGGAATACCAAACGGACATTGATAACATTAAAATGCACTTCAAACCAAACTTATGAAATTTCTTCTAAAATGCTAACTTCCACAATAGGCGCCAAAATGCTCCCGGGTTATCCAAAACTTGAACCGGGCATATGCCCAAGTCCGGAATCATCATACGAACCTGCTGGAACCTTCAGATCCTGATTACGAGGTCGTTTACTCAAAAATCCAATCCTAGTTCATTCTTCCAACTGCAAGCTTCCCAAATGACAATTCTCTTTCTAAATCAACTCTGAACTTCCCGGAACTTAATTCCGACCACGCGTACAAGTCATAATACTCGAAATGAAGTTGTTCATGGCCTCCGACTGCTGAACGGAGTGCTAGGACTCAAAACAACCGGTCGGGTCGTTACACTCTGAGACCTAGCTGTCTTCCTTGTTTGGCCATATTATGAGGATTGATTGAGAGAAACGTGCAAAAGAATGTTGCTATTCTTTTTTTCTTTCTTCACCTTTGTGTAATTGATTGTGAATTTATAAAGATGATGTTTGGGTTTGGATTTGTGTGATAGAGGTGAGAGTCGTTGTAACAGTGGAAGTTCTTTCTTATGCTTGTTTTGCTTGTTTCCAAGAACTATAAAGACCTTGTGAAAATGTGATGGGCATTGTTCATTCTAGGTTGCTTCTTTGGATTTTTGACTTGATTTGTCGTTATTAATAATAGATGGATCGGTACCAGAAGGTGGAAAAGCCAAGAGTAGAAACATCCATTGATGCAAATGAGATTCGTATCACCAGCCAAGGCCGTATGAGAAGCTATATTACCTTTCTACATTGAGAATTTGGACGAGGGCACAACTTTAAGTTACCCCTAGTAGGTAGTTGATGACTCTATAGGAGCAGAGAAATTTGGGTGAAGACCCAAGATTAAAGAAGGCTTGGTCTTAATTTTAGTAACTTCAGATCCTTGAATTATTTTCTTGTTTGCTATTTCTTGACTTACTTGTAATTTGTTCTTACAAAATTGTTCTTCCATTTCCCTTATATCCTTCTTCAAAAAGAAATTAGATCTGCTTATCTGAGAAGTTGAGCTCTGGCTAGTTTCAATTCTGCTCCACTTTTTCTTGATTATTCTTTCCCTAGCTCTTGCTCTTGCCTTGGCTTAAAATTTTATTTTGTAGATTTCTTATTTGATTCAAAGTGGGTGTTGTTAAATATTTCTTATAATACCTTCTGGAAGTTCATGCTGAAATTTGATAGCATTTGGAGCTGATTTGAGGTGATTGAGTTGGAAATTTCAGCTGAAAATTGAAAAAGAACATAGCTACCCAACAGTATACTGCTACGGTATACAATATGCTGTAGGAGTATATAGCTATACTGCAACAGTATACTATTATAGTTTACAATATACTGCAACGGTATACTGTAATAATCAAAGAAGAACACAGTTACCTAACAGTATACCGCTACAGTATACAATATACTATAGGAGTATATAGTTATACTGCAACAGTATACTGTTATAGTATATAATATATTATTATAATATACTGTAATAATATGCAATATACTATAACAGTATGCTGTAAAAGTATACAATATACTATAATAATATACTTATTACCCGTAAATTCACTTGCCTTTTCCCTTTTAATTTGTTTTAAACTTTTACCCAGCGTGAGGGGCAAATTGAAAATGCAATATATATATATATATATATATANACCGAAGTCGGTCGGTATATATATATATATATATATATATATATATATATATATATATTATATTGTATACTATAATATAATATATATATATATATATATATATTATAGTATGCTATATAATGTAACAATATACTCTTACAATTAGATCCTTTTAGAATTTTTTGAAATTTTTATTGACAACTGATATTATTTCAGTTTAATAATTGAATTAAAAAAAATTTTACCTCTCTGCGTACAATTATATATACCTTGTTGGTATAGCTATATACTATACTGGTATCATATGTTAGTTATTTTTTGATTGTATTAGCTACATTTAATTGGTACACAATTTTATTTTTCTTTAGTAATAGTATAAAAAAAAGAATAATAAAAAATAGTGAAAACGGTAAATGAAATTAGATTATGAAGATAAAAAGAATATAAAAAAAGAAGTTAAATGAAATTAGAAAAGGAAAAAAGAAAAAAATAAGAAGAAAACGAGAAAAAAGAAAAGGAGAAAAGAAAAAAANGATCCTTTTAGAATTTTTTGAAATTTTTATTGATAACTGATATTATTTCAGTTTAATAATTGAATTAAATTTTTTTAAACTCTTTGCGTACAATTGTATACCCTGTTGGTATAGCTATATACTATACTAGTATCATATGTTAGTTAATATTTTTTGGTTATATTAGCTACATTTAATTGGTACACAATTTAATTTTTCTTTAGTAATAATATAAAAAAAAAGAATAATAAAAAATAGTGAAAACAGTAAATGAAATTAGATTATGAAGTGAAAAAGAATATATAAAAAAAAGAAGTTAAATGAAATTAGAAAAGGAAAAAAGAAAAAAATAAGAAGAAAACTAGAAAAAAGAAAAGGAGAAAAGAAAAAAAAGAAGCATAGAAATAAAAAAGAATTGGAGAATAAAGAAAAAATTCCCCTCAAACACTATTATGGGTAGGAAATGTAATTAGTTTATGGGTAGAAAAATAAATGGGTAGACAAGGGTAAATAGTTTTGTTTTGTGGGTAACTGTGTCAAAACCCCTTTTTTTTCCACCTAAAAAAGTATTTTGAGTCCAAAAGAACCACATTTCGGTTCCGGACTCTTACCATATGTACGTACATGGCTCGTCTTTTAGAGCAGATCTATCTCCTAATTGACTCACGGCTGAGTCTGGAACTAAAATGTGGTTCATTTTGACTCAAGTGACCAAAATGTGTGAGAGAAAAAAAGAGTTAACAAAATATATATAGCGTCTTTTTAAAAAACGCTATACTTTAACGGCCATTTGGCCAGTTAAGTATAACGTCTTTTAAAAAGACGCTATATATATAGAGTTTTTTACTAAAACGCTACATATATATTAAGTGGGCCCCCAAATAATTCTTCTTTGTTAACTGACATTACAATAATTCAACTGGATATAGCGTTTTTTTAAAAAATGCTATACCTCTAATATTTGCACCCCCGGGCAGATTTTTGCCTTATTTAAAGAGGTGAAGTATTTTGTAAAAATCCATTCATAAACGTATTCAAGTGTTCTGAAATTTTTCTTTGTTAAGTTATTTTGCATTTTGTCATAATGTCTGAAGAGCAAAAAATTGGGGTTTCACTGTATTGGGGGTGAGGTTATGGTGGCGAATAACTCAGTAAGCTATAGTTTATCTCCACAGTGTCATGTTAAGTTGCCACCTACAATGGAGTATGTGGTATCGTTGTTATGTAATAAAATGAGTGTGAGCAAACATTCGGTGAATCTTAAAATAATCGGAAGACCGTATTCTGTGATTCCACAAGGGGTTGCTTGTTACGCTGAGTTTAACATCGAAGACGATGAAAGTCTGAGAGATTTTTTGGGGACTCCGGATGAATACAGAGAATTTTTTGTGATAAAATTGTTGGAAATTTACGTCAAGGTTGAAGACGTTCGCGATAATGAGGTTGCACAAAATAGGAAAATACCTCAATCATCGGGTGGTTATCTTGGAGCTATTTTAGCCGAACAGGTTCCGGCTGAAAGAGTTTGGCCGGATCTAAAATTATCTCCACGGGCGAATGAGGAGCGAGGAAATAATTTCTCCCCTGGTATACATAATCCCCAAGTCGAGTGGTAAGCTTCAATTATCCTTTGTGTTACGATGTATATTTTTGTGTATTGTATTTGTATTAACACTCATATATTCCACAAGGGGTACCGACCAGATATGAATTTTTCAAGTTATGAACCAAGGCTAGTTGGAATATGCCTAGTTTTGGTGTGTTTGATCATGGTGGTCCATCCAGGAGTCAGCATCAACAAGATAATGTGCATCATGGGATATCAACACATTATGATTTGTAAGTAAATATATAAAGTTATATGTATTGTTTGAACCAATTTCAGTAACTCATTATTTCTTTGGTTGTGCAGTGAAAACGAGCGACTTGATGGTCCTGTCCTCACTCAATTGCCCGTAAATGATGGATTTACTCGGGATTTGGCAGATGCGCAGAGTCAGGAAGATAATAGTGATTATGACAACAATGCCAATGAGTCTGGAGATGACACACCCTTTAGTGACGAGGGTGATGATGAGGAGGAAGAGAATGCCGAACCTGATTTGACGAGGGAGCATGCTCCACCTCCCGTTAGATCAAGAGTGTACGAGTCCCACGTGCCGTTTCATTCAAGGCGTATTCCATACCTTGATCATTTGCCAAGTACGCCAGATGTAGATGCCCTCACAAGGGATATTGACGAAATTCGGACAGCAATGTGGGATGAATATAGACCAACAATGCTGTCAAAGGGCATGTTTTTTGGTCCGATGTGCTATTGTGACAATGTGCTATTGTGTCAAACGATGTATGATGAACTCATGTTGGTCCAATGGTCATGTTGGACGCAGATACTGGATGTGTGTAAATAGGTTTGGAGGCAATGATGGAAATTATTGCGATTTTGAGGAATGGTATGATGAACCCATTGAGCGGGAATGCTAGGAAAAATCTTTGCAGTATATTTGGAATATGAATTGTGAATACCGACGTTATGAGTCAGAAATGAAACGAGAAATTGCAGAATTGCAGGAGAAACTAAAAGAGGCGGAAGAAGAAAAAAATAAGCTGGAAGAGAAATTTAAGTGGTTGGAGCAGAGAATACTAGGCGGTAATGACTAACCAATGACATGTATGTGTTTATTGTAGTATTTTATCTTTATGTTTTCTGTGTCTTGTATTTTTATTTGTTGTACTGAATTTAAATTATGTTAAGTTGCTATGTTTGTGTTTGTGTTGTAGTATTAAAATAACGAAGAACCGAAAAAATAAGAACATAATGCACATATAATGCAAACAATAAAAAAAGTTTTTATTATTTACCGATTGTCATATGTCTATAAAATCAAAAAAAAATAATGTGTCCCACATCCTTTATGCTTTAAAGCAGCCGCTGGCCTCAGGCGCATCCCATCCCGCCCGGAAACACTATCAGAATAATCCTCAGCACGATGCCTCTTTATCGGAGGATGATCTGCGGCATGATCGTCAGTAAGGCTGGCAGGCTCGGTAGAAGGGGCCGTCGGTGCAGCAGTAACCTACAAAATAATGACATATATTAGTATATGAAATATATAATAGTAAAGTAAGGGTTGATTGCATAAAAATAATTAAAATGTCTTACCACGGTCGCATCGGGCTCCTGAATATACTCATCCGTCTCAGGTATGTGAGTGTCACACCTAGTGGCCTCTGCGACGGGCGAGGATGATGGCTTCAAAAAAAAATATGCTTTAGATATTTATGACTAATCAATGAGATAAACACAAAAAATGCTACCTAGTATTGTCATAATATCAGCCAATTTCATTCTTTTAACTAACTGAGAAAAAATTTACAAATTAAGATCAAAGATTGTTGATGTTGGATCATGAAATATTTATCTCGAGTGGGCTGCAATAAGGGCCCGGTGTCATTATGTTAATAAAAAATGGCTTGGCAGCAAATTACTTCTTTTAAATTTGAATACAAATGAAAATGTTAGTCAAAATAGATAAACATGAATTAATTCTAACTCCAACATGATGAAAAAAAGTAAAAGGTCCCGACACGAAAATGATCCAATTTGACCACTGTACATTGCTAACATGAGAAAATGGAAGAATCGAGAATCTCGAGTAACTGGCAAAGCCGCTACAGTAGCTAAAGTAGTGATAAATCCTGTTAATAAAATGGGTCCTATAGAAAGTCCATCTATTCCTAATCTCCAATGGAAATCAAAAAAATTGATCTATTTATAATACTCCACTAGTTGGATTAATGGATCATCCGATTGGAAATGATAACAAAATTCATAAGTCGTTAGAAGGAGTTCTAAAATACATATACATATGGTATACCACCTAATTATCCTATTTTCTTTATGGGGAAGAAAGAAAATTAAGGAACCCGCAAATATTAGAAACACTACATTTATTGTTAACCAAGGAAAATAATTCGTAGTAAAGACAAGATACACTTGGACCATAAAAACCCGTGCTCAAAATATTTTGATTTTCGAGCACAGGTTTGTCGGTAAAAAGAATTAAATGGATTCAAGTAGAGTTTTCTCGAACGTACCAATAAGATAGACCCCTACTGCGAGTTGTTTCATGCCATAAATAAACTCGGACACTCAAAAAATCTGTTGGATAGGCGGATTCACATCTCTTACAACCAACACAGTCCTCTGTTCGTAGAGCAGAAGCAATTTGTTTACCCTTACAACCGTGCCAAGGTATCATTTCTAATACATCGGTGGGGCTTCATGTTTGAGTTCTTTACAGGTCCGCACAATTACTGCTCTGACTACTTCTGATCTTTCTAGGGGCATATTTGGTACGGCTTCTTTGATCACAATAAAAATAACGTCACCATCTCGTATGATAATCACCCACTCTTGAAACGACACTCAACGGACCTTTTAACCTTCTAAAAACCTTATTGGGCTTTGGATTGATCCAAAAACGACTTTTTTGTGCAACCTAGTGTATGTTCATAGAAGTTATTACATGGAGCTCTTTAATAATACCTAGAAGATTTTAATTACTCTATTCCAAATCACGCGAGTAGCCATTAGACATTACTAAGAGACATCCCCGCTATATATATTTAGTGATTCGAGGGTTGAAAATCGAGCGTTTCCTGGTTCAAAAATGCCGAATCTCGTCTCAATCATCATTTGTCAGGACTCATTTCCAATCAGAGGATCCATTAATCCAACTAGTGGAGGATTAAAAATGGATCAATTTTTTTTATTTCCATTGGAGATTAGGAATAGATGGTGAAACAAGCATTTCCACAACTTTACCATCCAGTCAATTCTGTTCCACTTAATCAGGAATGCGGACACAAGTGGTGTATGGCTGCCGTCAGCTCATGCCGTAAGGTGTTGGGTTAAGTCCCGCAACGAGAGCAACCCTCGTATTTAGTTGCCATCGTTGAGTTTGGAACCCTGAACAGAGTGATAAGCCGGAGGAAGGTGAGGATGGCGTCAAGTCATCATGCCCCTTATGCCCTGGGTGACACACTTGCTACAATGGCCGAGACAAAGGGTCGCGATCCCGCGAGGGTGAGCTAACCCCAAAAACCCGTCCTCAGTTCGGATTGCAGGCTGCAACTCGCCTGCATGAAGCCGGAATCGCTAGTAATCACTGGTCAGCCATACGGCGGTGAATTCATTTCCGGGCCTTGTACACACCGCCCTTCACACTGTGGGAGCTGGCCATGCGTCGTTACCTTAACCGCAAGGAGGGGGATGCCGAAGGCAGAGCTAGTGACTGGATGAACAAGACATACTTCTTTTTATTGCTTGACGTAAAACGGATAGTGGATTTGTTTCTGTCTTTTGTTGAATCTTTTTCACGGCTCGATAGATAATTGATAAGCCAATGATTTTTTTTTCGTGTTTCTAAATACAGTTAACCAACATGTTAACTAATCGATTACGATAAATTGGATCGGATTTTGCTGTTTTTTTCTGCAGTACCTCGACGTGACATGAGCGTGAAAGGGGTTCAAGAATCAGTTTTCTTTTTATAAGGGCTAAAATCACTTATTTGGGCTTTTTTACCCCATATTGTAGGGTGTATCTCGAAAGATATGAAATATCTCCCTCCAAGCCGTACATACGACTTTCATCGAATACGGCTTTCTGAGCAAATATAGGTTCAATCAAGATTTGTTTCTTCGGAGTGTCCAAGGCAAGCATCGAAAAAATCATATTTTCATACAATATCCTAATTGAATTATATGTAATGATCATAAATTAAGTTGAATTCTATATCTTCTTACCAATCCAATTGGATTTTTTCTAAACGGAGCCTGGATACTTCATTTTCTTAGTCCTACCAAGCCAGATTGGATTTCACTTGACCGTCAACGGTTCCATTGCGTGTGCTCGGGGTAGAAGTTTTACTTTCTACCACATCGTTTCAAACGAAGTTTTACCATAACATTCCTCTAAGAACCGGTATAGAATTGATACAATTATGGAATCATGAATAGTCATTGGTTGGGCTGATGTATAAATACCATAATCTATACTTTGTTCTATATCTATATACTATAGATATAGACTCCTCGTAAACCTTATTGGAAAACCCGTTGTCGGACTTGATTAATTGCCCTTTGTTGTTCAAACTTGAAATGAAAGTCGCTTTTTCGGATTTATTCTTCGTCACACTGTTGGAACAAAACAAAAATACTGGATGCAACGATATTGAAATATTTGGTACATGATGCCACGATCTGATAGATATACATCGGAATCTACAATCTACTTAAAATAATATAGATATATAATCTAGATAGAAATTAATGATGAAATTAATCTTTGATGTGGAATCAAAGAAAGATAATAAATGGCTCTTATGGTGTGACTTGGAAGAAAGGTTTCTCTGTAGATGAAAGGAATAACAATTTATTCCTATAGAAAATCTAGTAAAAATAAGATTTAGTCGGAAATATCGACAAATTCTTGTGGAATCCAAAACAAAAAAATGAAATTAAAAAAAAAATCAACTGCTCCAATTTCATCTCTATCGTATTTTAAATCAGAATAGCAGATATAGTCATGATTCAATAGGTCAGGTCCACTTACTTTTTCTTTTATTGATTTCTAATCTTTCGAATGGATTTGGAAGGCGATTCGATTTCATACTAATGTAGTAGTATAGGAACTATTCCGATTTCGGTGAAGTTTCTACTTTACGAATATGATTTTTTTGGGCTGACTTAGATGTCTCGTATTTCTCGATAAAGTGATTCGATTGATGGGATTTGGTATGAGATCGATGATCTCGATGAGATTGATATTCCAACCGCATATGTCTTTCTCCTACCAATAGGAAAGAAAAAAGAAATCAATTTACCGTAACAGAAAATCATCTCGTATCAACCGAAGCTACCGCGAAGGCTATGAACTTAGAAATGGAGAGCAATTTGAAGAAATGAACGACTTAAATTGCTTTTTCTCTCTGCTTGAGTTTTTTTTACTATCGTCCAACCGTTACTGAGGCTTTTGCTTCTATTCAATACATAATGACTGAATCCAACTTTGGTTGGTTAATCCGATCAGTTCATCGATGGTCGGCAAGTATGATGGTCCTAATGATGATCCTGCATGTATTTCCTATGTATCTCATCGGCAGATTTAAAAAACCTCGCGAATTGACTTGGGTTACGGGTGTGGTTCTAGCCATTATGAATTTGGAGATAGACTCAATCGAAATTGAAAGGATGAATCAAACCCAATAAAAAGGGAAGAAGGATTAGGATTTCTTTGACTTTTAGGAAAAATTAAAGAAAACAGATGCCTTTTATGAGATTACTCATAGACCTTACATATTGGAATTGTCACGCCCCGATCCCGGGGGTGAGACCGGCACCCAGTGCCTCATCTATCCTTGTGTACCACTTGCGACTAAGAGACTCTGAACATGTAATGTCATACTTTGGCCATGGGCCACATTACAAGATAAGGTGTGATGCAACATATAAAACTGAAAAGAGAGTAACGCTGACTAAATGTCAACATAAAGCTGGGCCGGCAAGGCCGCCATAATTACTACAACTGACAAGCCAACAACATATACGTACAGGGCTTACAAGCCCAACATACTACACCAACCGACAAGATATGTCTACAAGCCTCTACTGGCAGATGTATCGTGATCGGAACAGGGCCCCGACCTACCCATAACCTATCTACATATATGCACAAGATGTTACACCAAACTTCTAGACCCGGCAACTCCGAAGGACGGGGAGCTTACCGATAAAGCTAAACTCGGGCAAACACCTACTGTAACGACTCGGCCGGTCGTTTTTTTGGAATTTACGCCCCGATCCGCCATTAACTTCTTCCCCTAAGTTCATTTCTGCTATTTTGGTTTGCCGGGACGTTCGGTGTTGGGATTCGGAGTGTTTTGGGACACTTAGTCCCTAAATGAGAGCTTGAGAGTTGAAAAATGGTTCGTAATCGGAACAGTGTGAAGACGACCTCAGAATGAAAATCTGATGGTTCCGTTAGCTCCGTTAGGTGATTTCGGGGTTGGGAGCATGTTCGAAATGTATTTTGGAAGTCCGTAGCTCATTTAGGCTTGAAATGCCGGAGTTTGTATTTTTGAAGTTTCCGGTCCGATAGTGAGTTTTTGATCCGAGGGTCAGATTGGAATTCCGGAAGTTACAGTAGTTCCGTCATGTCATTTGGGATGTGTGTGCAAAATTTCAGGT